ATTCTTTATAAAAAGTAAATGAGAGAACTTTTAAAGAGCTAGCACCAGTTTCCTGTCAGCTCACAGTGCTGTTATTACCTGATTTAACAGCATCTTCACAGAGCATTTCGTTATCTGAGCTCTGTTGCTCCATACATGTCACCAGCAATAAGATGCTTGGCTGACTGACATGCTGGGAGAAGCATTGGAAATATGGATTATGGGACTGAAACTTGTTGTTTCTAAGAAAGGTTAAAACAATTCTTATGGAGACTGCAGTTGCCTGCACCATTTGAACCAGGGATATTAATACAGCCTGGAGGATAGAAGGTCATTTGGCTTCCTTCCCAGTCTTGGCTACCCACTTAATCTCTATACAATACACAGTGTTGCTGTTCCTGAAGTTATTCTGGATTTTATTTTTTTTTTATCAAAAGGCATTACTTTATTATGTGTTCCACTTAGCAGAAAAAGATTTGTAAGAGAATTCAGAAAGGTTCCTGGTAGTAGATTGACTAAATGTGATATGTAAATCACTTCAGACTTGCAGCTACCCACTGAAAATAGCTGTGTGCAATTGTCCAAGTCATCTGGGTGCACCCTGTAATTACAGAAGAATCCAGGCAGCCTTTAATTTCAGGTATTTATGCCTTTCATCCATGTTAACTGGACCTGACCACATTTCTCATTCACCCCTATTTCCAGTAGATTGCCCAAATGTTTCATATCTTTGCTGGAGCATTTCAGATGAACTGGAGTGTTTTGTTTGCTCAGAAGATTGGTCATGCTAAAAGGAGCTATTCTTCACTCATGTTACTTCTTAGGAAGTGTTTAGAACTTGCCTGGTCAGAGCCTGAAGTTTGTACACTTCCTTTGATAGAACTTTTTTGTCTGAGTCCTACTGACATGGCCCCAACCAATTAGGATGTAATAAATCAGATTAGATTGGCAGTTTCATGCAGCTGTTGTTAAAGATGGGCAGGTTTAGGTCATCTTTGGAGGTTGCCTTTGCAAGTGCCTTGATCCATTTTACATTAGAAAGGTCAGGGTTCAGATGTGCAGAGATGTGGCTCACGAAAAGGAGGTTCCTGTTCAGACATGTGTGTTTAAATATAACCAGGTGAAAACACTGAGCTGTTCAAGACTTGGCCTGTGAGGAGATGTGAGTCTGGGTAGGGATGAGCTGGAAGGACAGCAGAAAGCTGAGCCTCCTAAGGGGGAGCTGCTATTAAAAACAAGGCTTTGACTTGTCCAGTATATTTATTTTAACCTGTTCTGTTTTCAGTATTTAAGTTTATATTCTGTATGGGCTGAACCTCTGAACCTCTCTATGGGCTGAACATGCCACTCTGGCATGTTCCTGGTGTTCCATTCCATCCCCATGACTTGGTAGAGGCAGGAGGGTATGTCCAACGCTGAGGGGAGGGTGGGAAAAATGATGCTCAGGTCGTATTTACTGCAGGCTTCCTTCCACAGAGTTCCAGGCTATCTTCAAGCTGATTCATGTCTATAATTGATAATTCTGGGTCCTAGAGAGAAGATTCTGACTCAGAGAGCCACTGCTGTGGGCACAGTAACATCTGCACAGTGGGAATATCTTGTATCAGTATTTTAACATGCTCAGCCTGTAAGGAAGAGCATGTGATGTCATTGTTGCTTTTTGCTTGGAGTCAAAAATCTAGTGAAACCTAATGGGGTGGTGTTTTTTCAGATAAACAAGAAGTTGTTTTTAGTGAGAACAGATCAGACAGGTTTCCCTGTGTGTCTTTCCTGTGGCTCTCAGAGGTCTCTGTTATCTGCAAGCAAAGGTCACATTCCCAGGGCAGGGGGCTGAGTTTAATCACTTGCAGGTGTTTAGTGTCTTTTAGACTTGGCCTGCCACTATATCATAGATAATACATTTGCTCTCTAAATAACATTGCCTGGATTTTTTTTTTTAATTTTGCCTAATGTCAGGTACTTTAATGTTCATAGAAACAAACCATACTGGGTACTTTGGTACTTTGGTAGCTGTGCTTCCAGATCCCAGTCTCTTATTATTCCCAGTGTATGTGTAGTAGCTCACTGATGAGCTTTCATTTGAAGAGAATGAACTATTTTCACTGACAAGTGGCACTGCAGGTGTCTTTAGCAGTGTGGATCCCCTGATGTTGTGCTGAAGACTTGGGTACCACTGACCACGAGATGTACTGGGACAATGCGATGCCAAACTTTTCATGCTAAAGCTCAGTTTGATCTGCACTCCCTACTTCACTTTCATATTTCTCCTTATGCTCATTCTGCATCTTCTTCCTAAATGATGCCATCCTTTCCAGATTAACTTCCAGGGGTCTCATGAGAAACCACGTGCAGTTTTTCAGACCTTAGGGTGGGGGTTCTGCTGTAAACACACTGGGAGACAGAAATCACCAAGCTCTCCATGCTGAATTTGGGACTGTACATTGTCAGCATCAACACAAATAGCTCCCAGATATTCATGGGCTGTGTGTTGAGGAGCAGAGAGGTGGGGCAGAAAGACTGAGACGGGTTATGCTGCCAAAACAATCAAGAGAAGTGAATAGTTTCCGAGGTGTTCATTCCCTAAATTGTTTTCCTTTTTTTATTTTTTTTTTTTTCAAATGGCTTCAGGGGAGCCAGAGATCTTCCGAGAAATCAGAGTTGTCTCTGTTTTGACTTAATTCCTCTTGGTGTGGTGTAGTGGAGGAGGTATTACAAATAAAGCTGCAGTGTAGCAAAACACAGATCACTTTCCATTTACCATGACCTTATATCCCAAATTCAAAACTAGTTAACACAGAAGCCAAGATGAAATGCCACAGAGGGGTTATGCCATGTATGAAGTGGAAATGCCTTTGTTTGGAGGAAAATAACCAACATTCATTGATGCTTGTTTGTTGGAGGTAAAAATGGAGCTAAGTGGTTTTGAGTATGTCTAAGTGTTTGCTTGTGCACTATTAACTGAACAGTTGAGCTGAATCTTTGAACATTCATTTTGGGTTTTCATAGAGGACAAAAATTCAGATTTTAGTTGGTTTTCTCTGTTGGTCAGGGCATACCACTTTGCAGTAGATTTCATCTGTGGTTTAAATCTGGTCAGCAGAACCCCATCCTTGAACTTTTGCTTGTTTGTAAGACTTGGATCCAAGAGTTATTGAAGCTGACTGGCTGGACAATGCTGTTGGGGATGTGAAGATTTTTGAACTTATTTCGGATTGTTGTAGACATTAGTGCTGTAGATATTGGTAGATGGGAGGAGGAGAACATTTTTAATTATAGCTAGAACTACAAAGAGGAGTAAAATTATCAAACTGATGGTGGGATAGTGAAATACTGTAGGAAGGAGCAGTTTGGGATCTCACGTGTCTCATAATAGCATCATGAAAACAAGGATAGATAAAATGTTCCCACACAAACAAGACTTGCCTTTTTGTCTAGTCCTGTTGCGCAGCTAAGGCTTTGTTTGTTCCTGTTTCCATGGCCTTTGGCAGAGGGGAGGAACGACCTCCATTTTCCATTTCTATCATACAATATAAAATGAGAATATTGGCATTTGATGATAGGCTATTTGCTGATAAAACATACTGGCCTCAATAAAAACACTTCTATAACTTGGCAGTGAGTCCTTTCCCACTAACTGCAGATTGATAAATAGAAAGGAACTTGTTTGTCTGCAACTTCAAGAAAGCAGAGTAATCCAGCTTCTGCCAATTCCACAGACACAAACTTTGGGCTTCCACGGTGTGACTTTATGGAACAGGCAAAGCCCAGGCAGCTTTCAGAGCAAAATCATTTTTTTCTTATGATGGTGTTCAGCCAGTGCCTCATTTTTCTTTAATCTCCACTGACAGATGTTAGTAGGGCCCAGCACAATGTGGTGGCTGGTGCAGTGTGGTGGTGTTGGCTGCTTTCTGAGCCCATTAGGTTTGTGGATTTATTACAACCAGATATTCCAACCTGAAATACTCTGTACTGCTTCAGTTTGAGTCATGTTTGGTTATGGACATTTATTAGTAATTTGAAATCCTGTCTGACTGGACAAAGTCCAGGTTGGACAACTAATCATCATAAGCAAAGAGCACATGCTAAAATAATTCCTGTCTGGGTTTTCTTGTGTCTGCATTAGCTGTTGTATGAGAGATGCAGTGAAAGCCTTGCCTTTTGGGGAATCTTGAGAGAAACCACAAACTAGCTAAAGAAAAGGGAAGTGGCAGGTTGCCTGATGTGAGGTTCAGCACACAGGATGATGTGGCTGGTGAGAACGATTGGGGGGTGGCTCCACACCTGCCGTGGTGTGAGAGATGGGGCGGTTCCGTCGTGCCCTGGAGCCTCCCCACTCCAGCAGTTGTATCACTTAGTTCACTGTTTTGTTTTTAGCTGGTATTTGGAACCACAGCTGCTGCTACAGCAGCAAAACTTAGCCCTGAGAATTCCTTAGTGTGCTGGTATGGCCAGTCAGTGCCCACAGGAGCATTGGAAAGGTCACCTTGTTCACAGGAGCAGAACTGGGCCACCAGCCTGATTTAAGTACAGCTCTGCCTCTTGAGAGAGTCCCTGTGAAGAACCCCAAGTGCACTCTGTACCCCCAGAAGTCTCTGTTTCTTAAAGGGGTTCTCTACAGATGGGCTGACTTTAAAATAGCATTTTCTGTTTCACTGTAATCCACGTTCTGGAGTTCAGCTGTCACGAGCAGGGAAACTGGGCTTTCTCTGTGCACCCTTGGAGTGAGTTATGTGCCCAGCAAAGAACAGTCCCACTGTCCAGCAACAAGGGGAAGGAAGATGTTTTTTTACCATTTAAACTCACAACTATATTAAGACTATTCCAGATGTTTCTTTTTCACCTCCCTCCTTTTGGAGCTGGCGGTGGTGGGAGTGTCACTACAGATTTTCCTAGCTCAGCTCTGAGTTTAGCTCAACTTTGGGGTTTTTGTTCCATGACTGCATAAAATCTATGGTTTGGAGATTTTTTTGTGTGTGTGTTGTGTAGCACTGTTCAGGGATGGTTCATGTTTTGTCTTACAGAATATTGATATTACCAACTTCAGCAGCAGCTGGAGCGATGGGCTGGCCTTCTGTGCTCTCCTGCACACCTATTTGCCTGCACATATTCCTTACCAGGAGCTCAACAGCCAGGACAAGGTAAGTTGTGTTGTACCTGCTCCTACAGCATTTGCAGAACTCACAGTGAATGGAATGGATGAACAGGGGAAGGAAACCAACAGTGAGTTCCAAGAGGGAAATGCAGGGACTGCTGGATAAAGAGTCAGTGACAGGTTGGCTGAATCCAGTAAGTGCTGTGGGCAGCATCCCTTTTGGAAGGCTAAAGCATTCCTGGACTCCTGAGGCAGCAGCACACATCACACATGCTGGATTACACTAGTCTGGATCCTCACAAAGGGGGGGAATCTGGATTTACCTCAGACAGTACCTATTACAACAAAAACTATACTATATAAAGGAATGCCTTACATTAGTTAACACCTGCAGAGACCTGTCACTCATAATAAAGACAGAAGCTCAGTGGGTTTTTTTTCCAAGTTATCAGTTCCACAAGAACCTTTCTGTAAGAAACAGAGGGCTGTAGCTTGGGCAAAGTAGATGAGCTATTCGAAGACAAAGAACTTGTGAGTGTACCTTAGTAATCTGTGTGCAAGTGTGGAATCCAGTGGTTTACAGTTTTCAAATATACCTGCTCATTTAAACTTACTGATTACCCAGATGCAAGGCAGGGTTCAGGAATCATACCTTGGTGTTAATCCTTTTGAACTTTTATTTTTACAGAAGAGAAATCTGCTGTTAGCATTTCAAGCTGCTGAAAGTGTGGGCATCAAACCCAGTCTGGTGAGTGACCTTCTTTTAGCAAGGGAGGATTTGCTTCATACACTGTTCCAGTGCCTTTGTTGCCATGTGGCCAGTCTGTGATCTTGCTCTGAAAGTGTTCACATAGTGCTGGGGAAGGCTGTACCATCATCTGAAAGCTCATAGTGCTAGGAAAACTTCCAGACAGAACATGAAGAATCACAGAATTAATATAATTTGAGGGAGCTTACGAAGGTCATCTAGTATTGAAAAGAGGATATTGATTATCTCCTCTGGGATGCCAACTCCAGATTATTCATATTTTCATGGACAAAGACTTGCCTGTTAGAGCATTTTGTTTCCTTTTGGTTTTGTGTTTGAAGAAACAGAAAGATAATTCACTTTCTAAACTGTTCAAAAAACCTTTTCCAAAATCAACAATATGACAAGGGCGAGAGAAGTTTAATATGAAGGGAAAAATATTATGGGGTTCATGAGCTAAATACAGAAGCAGAGACATGCAAAGAAGCAGCAACTTAAATGAAGTTATAAATGAAGTTGTAAGTGAGGTTATATAGAGGATTGGTCTTTGCAGGTGGAAGAAATCTTTTCAGCCTGTAGGCTGTGTGTGGCTGTTTAACCAGTTTGTTTACGAGTTTCAGAATTGCACTTGGCCAGTAGATCACTCCAGTGTGTGTGGCTTTAGGGAGCTCTGGGGTGGAAGCAGAAGTGTTCAGTGGCCTCAGCTCCTCAGGGAACCCTGGTGGTGCTGGTCTGAGCTCTGCCCTGTGTGTCCTGTGCAGGAGCTCAGCGAGATGATGTACACGGACCGGCCGGACTGGCAGAGTGTGATGCAGTACGTCGCCCAGATTTACAAGTACTTCGAGACCTGAGGTGCAGAGCAAGAGCTGGACAGAAGTGGGGAAGAGAACAAAGAATGCTACAGATGCACTCGATCACTTTAAAAACCCGCTTGCTCCTCTTCCACAACCAACTGAAGCTCTTAGTTGGAAAGAAAGCTCTTCCGTAACTTTGATTACATCTGGGACTGCAACCAAATAAATACCTGTTGTCCATCTTTACAAGCCAAATTCATCTGTAATTTTATTCCCACGTGGAAATCACAGAGCATTTCCGAGCACACGTGGGATATTCCTGGAGATTCCCTTGGGCTAACAATGTTTGCCTCGACAGGAGACCTGCTACAGAATGAAGTTCTAAGTCAATGTGTACTATGCTGGCACTCAAGGGAGGCTGGGAGATTAATATTAATATTAATACAAAAGCTCACAGAAATGCTCTTCTTGCCAAAACATGCTTAACTCATCCCAAATACATGTTGTTTTCTTGCCTCTATGTATTTTCTAGAAGACCATGACAGATGCACTAAGTGTGTAGAACCTTAGCCTGAGTTACTCACACACCTCACCCAGTAACTGCACTAGTTTGCTCCTCACAGCGTAATCAGCAGGACAATAACAAGACCATTTGTGACCCTCTGTTCCATCACCAGTTAGTGAAAGAACTCTAGAAGATCCTGTTAGGTGCTGGGACTTCATTTCAGCTCAAACAGAAGTAATCTCTTTGAGGAAAAATAGATTTACTACTACAACTTTGTTACTTGGTTACTCTTGGAAGCCAGAGCTCGGTTTCCCAGCCGACTGTGCAGGCACAGTTATCACAGGAACGTTGCAAATGCAATTTAATAGCTTTAGTCTGGAAGGTGCCAGTAATCAGGTGATGACTCTGAGCAATACAGTGACATCTCAGTAGTTCATATTTTATGTGGATTGAGTGCAGTAACTTCTTTTTTTCTGTGTTGCTCCTGTCTAGTCAGCACAGATATGTAATTGCTGCATAGAGACATGAATCTAGAGACAGCCTGTGCCCTGTCCAATAAAATACAGTCCACAGGGCACTGTTACATGCTTGGAAGTGATGTTACCCTGTAAATGAACACAGTGATATATTAGTACCAATGGAAGTTGCATCTTCACTCCACAAATTACAAAGAATGTAACTGGAACCCGTCTCTGTGTCACGGACACAAGGCGCCAGCGAGCAGCTTTCCACCTCAGTAATGCTGTTAGCAAAAGGTCTGAAAGATGCTGTTCATTTCCATTATACTGTTTCTCTTATTTCACCTCATGAAGTTAATTTTTTCTCTTTGTCTCCAAGGGTGGCAGGATCAGACAGGCCACTTGATTTGTTCCTGGAGCAGGTCTGGGAGAGCATCCATGTGCAGGATCTGGTAGAAGGCTGCCTGGCTGCTCCAGGTTATGCTGGTAGGAGAAAGTTGGTGTTTAGTTACTGTGTTTAAGGCTGTGACCAGACCTGGTGGTTTGTGAACATTAGTCTTAGGGAGCTAGGGATTGTTTCTCTCTTACAAAAAATACTGGTACTCACTGCTCATAACTCCTGGAAAAAGGCTCATTAAACAGAAACAAGATTTCACAGAAGAAACTTGGTTTTGGGGTTTCTGGGGCTTTGCAGGTGGCTGATCTCAACCTCTGGTTTTGTTGTTTGATTTTATTTTTAATACTATTTAATTAGTAAACAACCTAGTTCAGACTTGGTTTTCTCACAGCAAAATGCTGGATTCAGGGATAGATGGTAGAGCCCAAGGCCAGTGAGTGTATTGAACAGAAAGGACGTGTGTGCCTGTTCTGCAGAAGGAGAAAAGCATCACTTGCTCTTAGTTTTAGTCTGACATTTATTCTGTGGGAAAGTCTGATTCCAATCTTTTGAGAGCCTGTGTGATAGAAGAGGACAGTGGCACGCACTCACAGTGCCCTTGCACGCTTGGTGTCATCCTGTACTGTGAGAAGGCAGCTGTGAATGCTGGCCAGAGTTGGATCTTTGCAAGAGAATGCTTTCCAGGGGAAATGAACTCTCCAGGATTTCTCAGCACACCCTCTGCCATCTCTGGAGAACCTGGGATGAGCTGCTCTCCGTGTTCTCAGATACAGGTCTCCTCTTACGGGATAAGGTGGAAGAGAACTCTGCTAAGTGGAGTTCATTTAGCCAGGCAGTCACACTGCAGAGCTCCACTGCCTCGTGGATGCAGCAGCTCTTTTCCCTGGAGGTGTCCCTTGGCAGGGATCCCAATTCTCTCCAACGGGCTGCAGTTCAGAGCCATAGTGAAGTCAGCACAGAAAATTCCATATTCCTCAGTGGGCTTTGGATTGGGCACTTGCAGGGATGAGAAAAACTGTTTTAATTCCCAGCCTCTGGTAAAAATTTCAAAGTCAGAGGGCTCCACTTGATGTAAAAAGAAGGATAATCTTAACCCTGTGGTCACTGGAAGTGTGTCCCATGTGACTCAGTGCACACAGAATGTGTGTTTTCCCTGTGTCAGCATCGTTTGCTCCAAGCCCTGTCCTGACACTGATCTGTGTCTCCAGGGCTCACTCCAACCTTCCAGACCATTCTGGGGGATCAAACAGCTTCCCCCCCCCCAATGATTTGTGCAAAGCAAAGTTTCTGTCATCTCTTTGCAGTTTGGTCTCCCATTCCCCCCAGTAGCATATGAATTTAAATTTGTCCTATATAAGGTGCTGCAGACTGGCCTGATTTTCAGAATCTACGGGCCTTTGTAGGACATGTCAAATTTGAAATGCAAAAGTTCAAAGCTGCCTTTAAATTTTAGGGAGTTTAGTCAAGGTAAGCTATGGAGAGTTTTTATAGGAGTTTTGAGAATCCTCTGAAGATGTCCTGGAGTGGAACATGTGATGGAATGATGGGGATGGTGTTTAGCAGCACGGATACCGTTGGAGCAGTAAGTTTGCCTAAACTGCCTAAATCCTTTCTGTCTTTGCCTCTTAGGAGTGATGGATCTTTCCCTGGTGCAGGCAGATGGAATCTCTTCCCATGTCACCATGTGCTCCCTGAATGCACCCTCACTCATAGGCACCTGCACGTGCCTGGGTGTGTACTTGGGAAGTCTGTTGGACTGCAGGAAACCAAACAGCTGATTTTGGATGAGCATGTGAGAAGGATGGTTGGAATGGGGATTTCAGTGACATTCCATGGAGGGATATTGCAGCGTGTGACTGTTGTGCTGTAGCTGTTAGAGGGGAAAGGAGATTACAGTGTGAAAAGTGTACAGTCTGGCTCCTGGAATTTCGGGTGAGACATAGAAGGTACAAATTGTTTCATGGCTTGGGAAGGTACAGAGGTGTGGAGGAGCCAGCCCAGAGTCAGCCCTCTGAGAAGGTTTTCTAGGAAGGCTGAAGAACTGTTTCAGAAGGTACATGGGGAGACTGAGCAGAGTGAGAGTCCAGCGTGTGAGGAGCAGGGAATGTGGGACAGACACACCTGGGCCTTTGTGGACAGCAAAGGACATCAGAGACTCCATATGGATTGTCAGCTTGAGGAATATTTCTCCTCAGAGTGCAGCCTGGGGTGGATCTCAGAAGATAAGGAAGGGAGACAGCACAGCTGCCTTTGCTGTGTTCCCCTTCCTGTGCCTGTGACAGTCACGGAAATGCAAGGGGGACAAAGATTTCCCAGTTCTTCCTGTGCTGCAGCAAGGCAGCTGTGCTGAGCAGAGGGATTTTTGGCTTGTTCACATCCCCTTTGAGTTTTGGCAGTTTTATTTTTGTGATTTGAAGTTTGTTTTTTACAGGTTTGCTCTGTGATTTATCTTGTTTTGTGTGTTCAGTTACGTGCGAGCTTTCTGGCCCGGCCGAATGTGTGCACGCAGGCAGAACAGTTGGTTCTTCCTTGTTTGATTCCTGACCTGCAACTCTTCAAAATCTACCTTTTTGCCTCCCTGACTTTCCCCCTTCCTTGGTAGTGACCTCGTGAGCCTGGGCTTGTTGGTTTGTTCATACCTCCCTCATCCTGCTGTGCTGGGGGACCGGGTATTCCAGCGGGAAGGATCTGACAGGGCCAGCTGTTGGCAAAGCTGAGCCTTGTGCATCTGATCACAGGCAGGGTCTGTATGGGATGAGATTATGCATTTTCCTGTCAGAAGAGGGCTATTGCCTAAAAAGACTCAGGGCATGGAGCATTAAGGCATTTTTAAACCCAGCAATAACTTGTACTATGCTCAGCTGTTGGTTTATACCAACTCCAGTGCCATCTACACTCACTCACTGATGCGGTGTAGAAACAGCTTCTCACTGAACTGCAATTAACATTTTTTTCTTAGCTGATGGTCTCTGCATTTTTGACTTGCACGTGTGCCAAGTCCCTCTGGGCAGTGCTGGACACAATGTTTTTATTGACTGTTGGTCCAGGCTTGAGTTTGCCATGTGGGATAATCACCTCTGACAGTTTTAGCTTTCCCTATTGGGTACAGATGTTACATCGTAACCTAATTTATACAAAGAGCACATTAGAATGTACATACTAGGCATTGCCAGATTTGGACATGCTAATATTTAAATATTAACATTATTAAAATGTATGATGCAAAAATCTGTGTAATATTTCTAATAAATCTTTTTCTGTTTCTGATGCTCATTGTAATGTTTCAGTTATCTACATACAATACAAAATCCAAGATATTTTCCATCCTTGGAAGTGTTAAGGTCAGTTTGAATAGGGCCCTGAGCAACCTGCTCTAGTGGAAGGTGTCCCTGCACAGGACATGGGGTTGGAACTGAATGATCTTAAAGGTCCCTTCCAACCCAAACCATTTTGGGATTCTCTTGAGTCTATGAAAACAGATACTTCCTCAGTCTGCTGGGAAGAAGGACTCCCAGGAGAGTTTTTAAGATATCTGTGGTTCACTGATTCTCCTGCACTGGTAGCAAAGAAAATTTTGCTCAGAATCTTCTTTTCATAAATACATGTTTCATTTTTTAATTTAGATGCATTTGGATGGCTCTCAGAAGATTGTTTTGGGGATAAAGGAGTGCAAGAGATCTCTCAGTTTGTGAAATAAGTAGTGCTGGTGGGACAGTAGGAAATCATCCAAGTGCAAAGGAAGGAAAGGGCACAGAAGAGACCCGTGTGTCTCTGCACTAGGGGCTCTTAAAGGACTAGAGGATTAGGAAAGAGTCGTCAAAAAGTGGAAGGAAGGACTTGTGACTTGAGTTAAGTGTAAAAATGAGTCACCAGTAAGTGAAGAGGCAGATGAGTTACAGGTCACAGAGCTCAAGCCACCTGGTAGCAGCAGCAGGACAGCCCACGGGGTGCAGAGGGTGAGCACAGCATGTGCACAGGGACAGAAAGGGATCCCTGTGCTCCTGCAGACCTCAGGGACTGAAAAATCCCACGGGATTTCATGCCAGTGATTTCATGGAGCTCAGTCCCCTGGAGGCTGTGCCCCAGCCACCATCCAGTCTTTGTACAGAGCTTTCAGAGGTGCTGAGATCAAATTCCAGAATACTTTCACAGAGGCTGCTTTTGTCTCAGGAAGGTGGGGGCAATACCAGAGCAATCAAATCACTGAGTCAGCAAAGCAAACAAGCTGATAAAAGAAGTGGTCATTTGAATCTCTTCAAGCCTCTCAGGTTTGATCTTTGTGTCCAGCTGTGGAGGTGAAACTTTATGGGAAAAAGTCCTCGTTTGCATAATCCAAACTACTTTGCCTTTCCCCACCTAAGTATTGTGTTTCAGCTCTGGATTTTTAGTGCTGGGCATTAAATGATGTTCTCAGCCTCTGCTGTCTCAAGAATCCACCCCTAATGCTTTGATTTATTTGTTGTGGAAAGCTGGATTCTCTGTGGACATATCCATGGATATGATTGCAAGTGGTTCAGTAAGAGACTGAAAATGAAGTTTGAGGCCGGTATTTTCCGGGGATGATTTGTGGGTGGTTTTAGATGGGGTGAGATGACAAGATTCAGGGCTGCTTTGTGGCTCAGTGTGCTTTTAGTGCCAAGTGTCTCCTGATGCTTAGAGAACGTGGATTGGCATGGAAAGAATGATTCCCTTCCTGACTGGTGAAAGAGAGAAGCCATAATAGATGATAGAGAGGCATAAGCAGTATGAGTAGAATAAAGAGTCTTCCAGATGGAAACTTGATGGGCTGCAAAGGTTCAGAACCAGGTGGCTGAAGTCTCACAGGTACAGTATTTCAGAATTCAGTGCTGGAAAACTACAGACACAAGCTGTGGGGAGCAGGACCCTGGACTAAATGTCACCCAGGGAAGATGAGAGTCAGGTAATGGGGGCAATCACTGGGTTTGTTGAGCAGAGCAGGGAGAAAATGAAGCTGTAAAATGCCAATGTGGGTAAACATTATTCATATATCCAGAAAGTGAACTGCTGCCCTTTCTTAAGTACACAGCAATAACTGAGACTTCATCCTTGCCCACACAGCAAGAGTTTAAGCTGGTTAAAGAGAAAGTAACAGGATTAAGAGACTTAACGTGGGAGCCAGTGCTTTTCCTAACCCGCTCCACACAGACAGCTGTACACCTTCTGTGCAAAGGTCCATGTTACCACTTCTCTTGGCTTAAAAAAAAGAATATATAGCAGTTCAAACCCTTGTTCCACCTTG